CCAAGAAGTGGAAAGACCCTCAGGTGCAATGGAGTATATCTGGAGAACAGTCTGCTGCAACCTCAAATGAACAGATGGGGGAACAAAGATGAAGATGGATGATAATGACACAGCATGAAGGCACACTCCACTCTGGGAGTCTGGCAAATGTGCACGTGAGGAGCTCTGGAGGATCTGAGCAGGGGATTGAAAGCTAACCACGCAGTCATTTGCACAATGGTTTGCAAAGGGACACCAGTAGAGGAGAAAAGTTAGATGGCTACTAGAATGTTCTAAGTAAGAAGGAAGGAGGTGTCAGATTCAGAAAATGAAAAGATGGAAAAAGATAGAACAAAAAGTTATTCTGACCCATCAAAAGGTGAGCAAGGCTGCAACCTGGTGAACCCAAAAAGATAAACTGTTATCTCTTCCCCCAAGTAGCTAGGCAGAGCATGACCAGGACTCTCAGTTTAGTGCAAGGAGTGAAACAGCTAATGTTTATTGAAAGTCTACTGTGTGTCAGAGACAGTGCTTAGTGCATTATATACTTTATCTCATTTAAGTCTCTACGTCAAGCCATTCTGAGAGTTGTGCTTTATGATCACCAATTTACAGCTGAAAAAACACAGATTCACAGAAGTAAGATGACTCACCTATGCTTAGAGAATAGAGAGTAAAGAGGATTAATAACCAAGAGCTATTAATTAGAATAGCACCTATTTGCTGGACACTGGGGAACAATGGCCAACGGAGAGACCATCCCTGCTGCTATATTCAAACACAGACCTGATTCGTAAGCTCTTCCCTTTCTTCTTTCTGCCCCTGCTTCCACTCATAAAAGAAGTCCCTGGTCTGAATTGGTTAATAGCATTTGACTATTGCCAAGTTGTGCTTACACTGCAGATACTAAGCCTAATTTTTATTTTTTAAAAATCATGATTACTTGGCTGAAAAATGTTTTCATTTTTTCTTTTAAAATGTTGATAATCACAGGAAGCTACAGTACTTTGTGCTCAACTGCTTGTTATTTATATTTTAAGCAAGAAAGGCTGGTACCAACTCTCAGATCGACGTAAAGAAGCAGTTTACATCAAAACTCAGGCCTTCTCACTCTTGCAGTACTACCTTTCCTGAATCAAAACAATTTTGATTCAAAATAATCTGCCAGATGTCAAAGTACAAAGTGCCAAAGTCTAATTTATAGGAAGGTACTTAATTAACTTGAACAGATTACACTAGAAAGAAAAATCCATCAATAATTTGCATATTTTTTATATTCAAGATATTAAGAATTGAAATGCACATGGAATTCTATGACAATTAGAAAACATTCCCTCATCCACTTAATAAATATTTATTGAGCACTAAGCCTGAAGCAACACTATAAACACTGTGAGAGATACAGAAATTACTAAAGCAGCATACTGTTTTGAGGTGTTTCAATGTGGTAGAGCGTAAGACACAAGGAAAACAAACATAATTCTAGTTTAGGGCATGTGGTTGTTGGAAGACAATTCTCCATGGGTCTCTTGCATTTTTGCACGTATTGTGAGTGAGGCACTGACTGTCCTTTGTTCTGAACTCTCTTTTCAAGGATATTTCTATAGCAAACAGCTCTGGAAGACAGAGTGGTATCTCCCTTAGGAGTAAAGGGCAGTTTTGCTTATAATCCTGAAAGATACAGTGTCTCTTTACAGAGCAAAGGGTAGGCATGCTTACAGACTAGTATAATAATGTGTCCCTCCAGAAGAAAAAACAGACATGTTTCCTAACCATTATTAAAGATTTGGGTTTCCTGAACTCAATGATCCTCTCTGGTAAGGCAGTCCATTTTGTGTGCAGTAATGGAAGCTGGCCCTCTTCATGTCACCTATGGGAACAGAGGCTCAGGGAATAGGTGCAAATAAGCTGAGACTCACAGACTGCTGTTGCTATGAGTCATAAACTGTCCTTTGTCTCTGACTTTGGAGTCTCATGTCTTCTACCCACATCTATGAAACTGTGTTAGGCTAACTTGCTGGCTTGCAAGTAGGATAAAATCTCAGTCTTGACAGTTCTTGACAGCAGGGGGTTGCAAAAATGGCAACAAATTCATTCCCTTTCTGCATCTCTGCCCTTTGGTATACCCTCTTATGCTGACTCTGGGCTTGGCCATGTAACTTCCTTGGCCAATGGGACATCAGAAAACATGACACAAATAGAAGACTAAAAAGTACCTATCCATTGAGGCTTACACTCTTGCTGGCTGTTTTTAGAATTTCACAATTCTAGGCTAGCCTTAATCCCAAACAGGCTAGCCTGTTTGTGTGAAATATGTGCCCAGTGTCCCCTACCACCTCAGCCAAGAGCCTCACAATCACCAGACATGTGAACAAGGCCAATTCATGTCATCCAGCCTCCAGCCAACAGTCCAGTTAACTGCTGGAGTGAGAATGGATCCAGCATTGATCAGTAGGGCTGACCGACCCGAGGGAACTGTTCAGCTTCTAGGTTTTGAAGTGGTTCGTTATGCGACACAAACTAACAAAAGGGCAGAGGACAAGGGAAAAACTACTTCTAGTACAATACCTATATTACAAATGCCACAGGGCTCAGTGTATGTCTGGTTAAATATTGTAACTCCAGCACTCAACACTGTGCATAGAAAAGAGCTAAAAGTGCCCACTGTTCCAGCTTTGTTTTGGTTTCTGCATCTGAACACTTACAACAAAAGTCACTTAATTTTCACCTCACAGGCAGGTTGTGAGCTTACAGGGACTGTGTATGAATCTAGCAGGGCACACAGTGCAAGGGAAAAAGCAGAATTCTGTCCTCCAGGAAACATGCTCCTGTGTGTGAAAAGCAGCTCTTCCACCTAATATCTGGCAGTCAATGGGTGGGTCATTTAAACATATTGCACTTCAGAGGCGCCTGGGTGGCCCCGTCAGTTAAGCGTCTGCCTTCGGCTCAGGTTGTGATCCCAAGGCCCTGGGATGGAGCCCCGAGTCCGGGTTCCCTGATCAGTGGGGAGTCTGCTTCTCCCTCTCCCTCTGCCTGCCGCTCTCCCTGCTTGTGCTCTCTCTCTCAGTCAAGTAAATGGATAAAATCTTAAAAAAACATATTGCACTTCAGTTTCCTTATCTGCATCATGGGAATAATAAAGCTTTCTTCACAAGCTTTGTACCACAGGTGTTAAAAAGGAGGCCCTCTCTGAGTATCGGGGCATTATGGTAGAAGAGATGAAAGCCTGGGAGTAGCAGTAAACACTGTTAAAAGCCAACAAGTGACAAGCACTTACTCACACGCTTTCTCTCTCACATAACACACATGCACAAAATCAAACCATTTCCCAAAGTTAAATTAAAAAGCTAACTGGCAGAGACCTAAGAGGAGAGAAGCTAAGTAACAACAGGACTATATTATGGTCTATAGGAAAACAAAACTTAGTATATTATATTATTATATAATTTGCCTGTGTTGTATAGAACAACCCAAAGTATGTTGTTTGAAAGCCCCCTGAATAATATAACTTTCTGGAAGATGAATGCCCGACAACGTGTGAGTGTATAAAACGTAACATTATACTAATGCACCTAAAAGGTCACTTTTCAGATATTCTGCTTCATTTCTGCAGTTGAGAATTAAATCCCTACTTTTTATTTATAGACATTTTAACTACTTTGCTCTTGATCCTCTACAGTACTAGGTTTCATCATATTTAAAACACTTTAAAAAAAAAAAGACATTCTTTTATGATTTGGCATCTTCGAAAATTCTGTTTAACTGCTGGTTGGCAATTGAGTGCAGTTGATATTGTCTCTTAGACATTAAAATCAAGATTATTATTGGAATTATACAAATCAAACCAACAAATTACTTATGGGCCTAAGTTGGTTTTCTGTAGCATTTTGAGACTTTGGTAAGGGAAATTTAAAAAACAAATCACAATTTCTATTCTCATTTATATGAAATATGTATGCAAAGTTCTTTTTCTACCACTTAAATCATAGGAAGTACTAAATAAATGGCATTTAGTTATGGTTTAGCTATTGTTAGCTATAACCATACTGTATATTTTAATCTTTAAAAAAGCAATAAACATGCAAAGACATGAATGGAACTAGAGAGTACAATGCTAAGTGAAATAAGTCAGTCAGAGAAAGACAAATACCATATGATTTCACTCATATGGGGAACATAAGAAATAAAACAAATGATCATGGGGTGGGGGGGAAGAGAGAGAGACAAGCCAAGAAACAGACTCTTAACTATAGAGAACAAAGGTACTGGTCACCAGAGGGGAGGTGGGTGGGGGGTTGGGTGAAATAGATGATGGGGATTAAGGAGCGCACTTGTGATGAGCACCAGCTGTTGTATGAAAGTGTTGAATCACTAGATTGTATGCCTGAAACTATTAAACTGTATGTTAACTATAGTGGACTTAAAATGAAATAAAATAAAGCCACAAACATATCACCATATCTCATTAACCACTGACAATCAAGCTCTAAAGTTCTACTAAACAAGACCACATGCCTTCAGCAACACACACTTATCAACCATAAAAGGCCATTAGGCCAATTGTATCTCTATCTCTGGAGCAAATAGTTGGAAAGATTAAGACAAGAACATGCACAGAAAACAAAAAATCAGAAACACTACATATATTAGTGGACGTTTTAAATTTTAACAAATTGTTTTACAGATTGTCCTTCTGATCCTGAATCCAGAAACATCCTCTTCCCCAGTTCACACCCCCATCATGGGGCACTACAATGCCACACTGCATTACCATGGGATGGTATCAAACACCCCTCAGCTCAGATGCGAAGTCTGCTCTCCACTGGAGGGACATCCAGGTGGCCAGACCCGGGAGGATCCCACCAGAATCCCAATCTCATTCTGCCCCAGAAAGGCCCCCAATATTCACAGGTCTGGGGCCTGCCGTCGAACGGACTGGTGGTTGCATGCCACTTCGGGAAACTTTGTCATCCTCTGTGTATGGATATCTTTACAGAAACAAACACACTACCCCAGCTTACCCGGAAATAGTCGCTGCATGCTGCCAGGACTGCCTTGTGAGCATGGAATTTCTGTTCCTCGGCAATCAGGGTGATATCGCAGAGGATGCCATCACTTCTCTGCTGATTCAGCGCTGCCAAGACACTATCATTGTGAGATTCCGAGTGGCAGAGCCTCTGGCCTGTCAGCATTTCTTGAATACTACGAAAGAGAGCAATCACATCAACACTCTTCCTCTCACCAGCCCCTGCCACCCCCGGGCGAGCTCACCCCTCCAGCACCAGTGTGGGTGGTGCGGATCCCAGCTCGCTACAGGAACGGGACATTCTTGTTCCCACTTCCTTCTCTCTACTCCTCTCTTGCCCTCCTTTTCTCTAATTCTCTCTTTTCCTCACCCCCTCAGGTGTCTTTCTCTTTCCTAGGTGCTTCTCTTTCTGAATTTGTGTTTTGGTGTGTGTCCATCTGTGTCTGTGTATTGGCCCATGTCTGTAAGCCTGTGAGCTTCTGCTTCTGGGCCTCCATCCCCTCCATCCCCTCCATCTCTGAGTGCAGAGCTTTCTCTGGATGTGTATCTGGATGTGTGTACCTATGTGACTCTCTCTTCTCTGTGACCCCCCCCCCGCCCAACTCTCTAATCCCTTCTCTAGCTTTGTACCACCCGTGTCGGGTTAGTGCAAGCTCAGAACCTCATCACCATCATGTACTGATCTAGCACAGAATCGTCGGGACCTACGAGACTCATTAGAGATAAAGGAAGTTTCCAAGTCTCCCCACAGGTCACAATACTGCATTAATACATAAAACAATACTGAGTAAATGTTGGTTAGAGAAAAAAGGGCTGCCACTGACCATTCTGTGTAAAAGGCAATTAATTAAACCACGGCAGATGATTACTAAACTTGGGAAATTATGTATCACGGGAGAACATCCAAAGAAATGTCATGGTAAACAAAAAAATCTAAGGCTGATAAAAAAACCGAAATCTTGCCATTTGCAACGACGTGGATGGAACTAGAGGGTATTATGCTAAGCGAAATAAGTCAATCAGAGAAAGAAATGTATCATATGATCTCACTGATATGAGGAATTCTTTTTTTTTTTTTTTTGATATGAGGAATTCTTAATCTCAGGAAACAAACTGAGGGTTGCTGGAGTGGTGGGGGGTAGGAGGGATGGGGTGGCTGGGTGGTAGACATTGGGGAGTGTATGTGCTATGGTGAGCACTGTGAATTGTGTAAGACTGTTGAATCACAGACCTGTACCTCTGAAACAAATAATACATTATATGTTAAAAAAAAAAAGAAGAAGAAGAAGATAGTAGGAAGGGAAAAATGAAGGGGGGAAATCGGAGGGGGAGACGAACCATGAGAGACTATGGACTCTGAAAAACAAACTGAGGGTTCTAGAGGGGAGGGGGGGGATGGGCTAGCCTGGTGATGGGTATTAAAGAGGGCACGTATTGAATGGAGCACTGGGTGTTATACGCAAACAATGAATCATGGAACACTACATCAAAAACTAATGATGTAATGTATGGTGGTTAACATAACATAATAAAATAAAATTAAAAAAGATCTAAGGCTGAAAGTAAAATATATCTATATTATCAGCCTTCAATCTCTGCATGTGGTCATTGTATTACATTTAGGAATGACTATACAACTTTATTTTCTATTCTGTTTTTTGAAATTGCTAAATTTACTCATTGTGAAATTTAGCCCTTCACTCCTTAGCCCATTTTAAAACATTCATCCTATGTCCTTTTAGAACTCCTAAGTGAAACCCCAGATCTCGCCAAAATAATGTGGAAGTGATGCCATAAACACATAATGCACACTGAATGTGTTGTTAGCTACGAACAACTCCAGCCTAGATCTATGAATAGAGTCTCCATAGCACTCCAAAATCTCAGAACTGGCATCAGACCAGGATGGGTGAGCTGCACCAGTCACAAGTTACTCCCAGAATGAGAACAAGGGCCATCAAGCCCTGTTTCTGGCCTCTGGACTCTTCTCAAGGCTGAGGGAAGATACCATGGCGATGACTGATCATCGTCTCTCCTATCCTGACAACTCCTGCATTCAGTTCTTCCCTCTCAATGTGAAAGAGCCGCTCACGGGAGCCAGGGAGTCACCACTGGCCTAGTCTGCATGGTTAGTGTATTTAACAAAGCTCTGCCCAGCCGGTGGTGCCAGATGGCTGGTGAACTGCCCTTCAACCCAGACCGCAACCTTACATGGAACCGAATGCTTCCCAGGAAACGCAGAGTACAGCCCCATAAGCTTTACTGGACATTTATGACTGGGGAGCCTCAGAAATATCAGAACTATTGAAAGAAAAAAAAAAAAAACTTGACAGGAGGTGATGATATGGGAAGTTCTCGTGGGAAGGTGGGAGGATTATTTTCAGTTGAAACTCAGCAGTGAGTTTTGAAATGGTTACTATCATCTAATATTCATCTAGCGGCTCCAGCTATCCTCAGACATTTAAAATCAGTAACTGAAAAGCACATTCAGAAGCATAAGTAACTTTTTAATACAAATTTCTATGCAAAGCCTGAAAGGGAGACTAATTAGCATCCCTCAATTAAAGAAATAAGGGAATAGAATAGTAACAGAAATAACATACCAGCTAAAGTAAAGCTTTAGGATAGTTTTTGAAAAATCTTTCTTAGAAGGATGACATTTTTATATATTTCACAAACAGTCTTCCCATGTTCCATGAAGTATTCTTAGTGATTTATAATTATTAATTCATTAATAATCATCCTAACAACCCTATGAGGCAGGCACTATTCTTATCTCTGTTCTACAGATAAGAAAACTAAAGGTCCAAGATCAGGCATTTTGGGAACCTATCACCAAGAACACAATAATGTAATTTCCCTTCCTGCTTAAAAAACAAAACAAAACAAAACAAAAAAACAAAAAAGACAAAAGAAAACACAATGATAAACTGTGAAGAAGAGGGCACCTGGGTGGCTCAGTTGGTTAAGCGACTGCCTTCGGCTCAGGTCATGATCCTGGAGTCCTGGGATCGAGTCCCGCATCGGGCTCCCTGCTCGGCAGGGAGCCTGCTTCTCCCTCTGACCCTCCCCCCTCTCATGTGCTCTCTCTCTCTCTCATTCTGTCTCAAATAAATAAATAAAATCTTTAAAACAAAAAAACTGTGAAGAAGATCTTAAAAATCTCTGATTGTGGGGGGAAAAAGTCAGAAAGTCCATATTAACTGTGTATTTTTGTATGCATAGTTATCCCAAAATCAAAGCTGCCTTTTAAAAAGAATACATAGAAGATAATAACATGAGATAGTGATAAGAAATATCTGAAATCAGGCTTCAAAAATATTTATCTTTGCACTGCAACTAAGATAAGTTTGGGTATAGAAAACCAGATTCTAATTATCATTCATTTATTTGAAACACTCATTGCAAATTTATTTGAAACACTCATTACTTTCCTCTCTTTTAATATCACCTTAAATGCTAAATAAATGTATTTTAAAATTTCATTTTTAGTGGAACAGTAGAATATGTTAAAATAATTGCCTTAAAGTGTTTCCTTACTCATTTTCCAAATATAGTGCCACGATTCGTGTCTTTATTATCAAGACTGAATCAGTATTTGCATTTCAGGTATCTATTGACAGCGAATAAATCTCACCAGGGAAAGAGCAGCTGTAAACTGAAATTTGGCAAGGAATAAAGGGCTCAGCTCTGAAACAATGGTGATGCGGCACAATTTCACAGAATCATTCAGCTGGGCTTGAAATATTCAAGCTTCAAGAAAACAACATGCTAAATATTTAAGGCAACACTTGGCACAAGATCCCAAATATTTTGGAACCAATATGTTAGGAATCTTTAAAAGAAGAAACAAATACTCCAACATTTGGCAAGAAATAAAGGCCGATTAATCAACAAGTCTTTATTGTATTCTGAAAGTAACTTCCCACTCAACTCTCAGATGTAAATCTGCAAAAGACTTCAACCCTCTAAATGTTAAAGCATGTGTGACCATGGCACACAGCTGGAAAGTGGCAGGCCCATCTGATGAGGGCAATGGTCATAAACAAGGGAGGAGGTGAATCAGAGACTATAAAGGACCGTGTCTAAATTAAGGTGAGGAACAGATACATGCTTGCAAATGGCCCCGTTGACATTATAATTTATAGCAAATCAACACACTCAACTTCCCAGCAATGTCCCTCCATTATTTGGGAAACAATGAAGAAGGGAGGAAAAGGATATTCCTAAAACTTCCTAAATTACTGGAAAAAAAAAACCAAACATAAAAACATGAAGCATATTTCCCAAGGGTATACGGATTTGAGTGTCATCCTAAAATTGGGAAAGATCATCTGTGGAAGCAATGTTGCCACCTTAAAACTCACAGGTAAGGGCAGAAGGTGACCTAGCTTCCCCAGTAGTCTTTCCTCTGAGGGATACCCTAGAACTACACCATCCAATACAATACCAATAGCTACAGGTGGATATTGGCCACCTGAAATGGGGGTAATCCAAATTGAGATGTGTTGTAAGCATAAAATGCACTCATGCACTTGATGTCAGATGTAGTATGAAAAAAGAATGCAAAGTATCTCATTAATATTTTTATACTGATTTCATGGTAAAATAAAAATATTTGTGGTATTCTGGGTTAAATAAATTATATGGTTAAATTCATTTTACCTGTTTCCTTGTATTTTAAAAATGTAACTACTTGAGAATTTTTAATTATACATATGGTTCACATTATGGTTGTATCGGACAGTGTACAAGTTCCCAGGGGGACCTGTCCCTCATTCCTTTCCACCCGAACTCTATAAGGGCTTCGGGTAGCCCCTCAGGCTGCCGAGGAGCATGGCTGTTCCCACGTCTCACGGGACACAGCCTCTGCCGGTACAACATGGGAAGCCCCAGACTCTCTGAGCAGCAGATTGCTTTTTCGTGATGCCAGGGAGCATTTGATTGGCCATATGTCAGCGTTCAGTAACAGGGAGATAAATAAATGAGCTCTAAGGGATCAGGACTCTTCATGACTTCAAGTCTTTAACTTTCATTCTGGAATTGATGGCATAAACTAAAAAAATCAAATGCAGAGCACAATGTTCCTAACCCAGTACACCCCCTACTCTGAGTGAAGCTCGGCCGGAGTGCAAATCACTCCTTCTAGTTTATAGAGTTAATGTTTTTGATCACAGAAATCTCACAGGGT